TTTCAGTTCGTCAAGTTTTGATATGAAACTATGGGCATTTGTAAAAACGCGGCTCAATTTTGCGCCAGCCGAATTTCAGGCCGCATTTGTCACTGCTATGTAAGCAATGCCCTATATTTGCTGCAAACATTAAAGTTTCCATAAATTCTTTCACCTGCTCCTGTAGAGCGGGATAACCTGACGCACGTCGAGGCGTATAGAAAGGGGGTGCGCGAACACACGCCCGTGTGGTTGAATGAAGGAAAAATCGATCTGTTTGAAATTAGATTCTCGCCCATCTAATCGATACTGCCAGCCAAGTCAACGCTTAGGAAGATTTCAAGTTACCTGCTGGGCACCAGCACACTAATCTAAACACCTATGTAAAAAAGTGCAGCAAAGGCGGAGGCAGTGGCTATTTGGTTAGCAAATCCAGCTCTCTGTTGTCAGACGACTTTGGTACAGACCGTCTGTCTTCCTTGGCGACCCCAGTCGGACTCACTCCGCGCGTTTGATATAGAGACATACCTCACGTTCTACGCTCTAGCCCGAACCCCTCCACTTCTCCGCTCCCCCGGCTCCAACGTCCCCGGCACGCTGACACCGTCACGCAAGCTGTGAAAGCGACGAGTTTGCCTAGCCATTCCCCCTGAGATACATAAAGCCTGTCAATAGACCAGAAGTTCGTTCTCTATACAAATCTATTGGTCTGATGTTACATTAATGAAAGAATATGTTTGCCAACTGACTTTTGAATCGAAGCTGAATAAGGTGAAATGTCGCAGAACTTCGTTTTTATGTTGTAGGAACGTCTCGCATGGTCTTGCGGTTGTTACCCTCAGGTCTGTCTGTAGCCAACAGATGAGGGCACCCACAGGGCTATTAAATGTACCATTTACGTTTGCGTAAGAGAATCCACAAGGGTAACTCTTTTGTTTTTCTTTCCTCTACCATTTATTAGACCAGACATGCTATAAACTCTCGAAGACGACAGAGGTAGATCGTTAGTGCCAAAGTTATTTGGGTCCTAGAACATGCTTCCCTTTGTCCTTCATGTGCGCCTTTCATGGCGTTTTGAGTTCCAGGACAGCCTTCGGCATCATGTTTGGCTTATAAAGTCCAAGTCCCTTGGACCGACTTTTGGGGAATTTAGTTGACAATGCAAGATAGCTATCTTGCATTTCGTTAACAGGTATTTCTAATACTGCATCATGGTCGCTTTGCGCACACGTCATCCCAAAGTATGGATTATACTGCTTATTAAACCACCGGCGACCAGCACATTCTTGCGGCGTCCTTCTTACGCCCCAAAGGACAATTCATCAGTCCCCCAATTTGGAGGGGCGGCAGATATTACACGTTTATCAGCTCCGACATTTATGTGAAAAGATAGGGCGCCGTTATTTCGTGTTCATTATTCTTGTTTGTTTCTGCAGAAGTGGAGTCTTGCATCTTTAGTCAGAATTTTTATGGCGACAAGCCGTCGCTTCTTATTTAGTAAAGAATGATGTTCGCCGTTCCTGAAATCAAATCTGCCATTTTGACAATCCTGAACGCCCTTTAACTGTCACTTTCCTCGCTGCGCACGCACCAAAGTCAAGAATCTTACCACTGCCCGGATATATAACTGACCTACTGGGCTGCAATTCTGGCAGAAATATCTAGCATCGTTGACGTAAATTGAAGCGAATGTTTGCGTCTTGCAGCTGGTCCAGGAAACATTTTCACGTTTATCTTTTAGGCTGAAAAGCTCTGTAAGTGTTGGTCTCTCGACATAAGGGTCCACCAGCCAGTAGTTTTATGCTCAGCAACAGCCTACACAGGCTTCCTGTACTAGTACATATTAAAGCGGCCAGCGGTATAGACGGTCGGTTTTATACGCGGGATACACCGTGCGTATTTGACACCGGAACAATCATTTTAAGTAGTTTCTCTCTATAATTGCCCTATTCAAGCGCTATAACTGTAACCAAGTTCATATTGATAGGAGTTCTACAACTAAGTTGTCTAGCCAGACCAGGCTGAAGAGTCCGTTTCCGCTTATTCTGATCCCATTTAAGGTTCGCAACAAAAGTTTCATGCCATTCATGAGGACCACTGGACAATTCAACGAACATGTGAGTACGTTTTCGATAAATCTGGACGATCGGCCCCATTCCTCGCGGACAAAGCCAAAGATCTAGTGCCACCACCGGTAGCCTCCCCGTCTGCTGATCTCACCCCATTATCCAACAAAGTCCGCCATCCTTACTCCCCCGAGCCTCCTCGGCCTCCGTCCGCAAATAGTGCTGAATTCGGTCCTCAAGTCGATTGTGTCCCCGGTAAAAGACACAATTTCCTATTTACCCAGTCTCTAATGCCTCCGGGTCCACCCACGTCCCCTGTTCCAAGTCCTCCTCCAGAAGCCGCATGTAGCAACATCTGTGATACTTCGAGCTCAAATTGCCTAATCAAGGCTCCTGTTTCTCTCCGAGAAACTGCAACCTTGGACGCAGACAGCATATCCAAAACTCCAGGTATTCTGAAAGTAAAGTTAAGAAGGAGACGAAACGCGATCTGCGGACAGTCTAAAATGGGGAAGGGACTTCGTGAATTTCTCTTCTCATACGTTGTTTCCCACCTGACGGACTCACTCACTTCGTCGTTGAGCTTGGAGAATCAAGACAATAGAACTGCAACTGAAGAGAGAGACTTCGCCATGGATGCTGAAAGTCCAGCAAGCAGCAGTACCCAGTCGGACCTTCCGGACCTTTGAGTGCTTAACATCCGTCCCTTTCTAATCGACCCCACCCACGCATTTGTGTACGTAAATGCTAACTAAAGCATACATATCGCGCGGTGACGCGTATACTGTACAGGATTTCACTTAGATTTTATTATCTCACTTGTTTCCGCACGTTTAATCCGACATAGGCAGCTATTTGGCATAATACTTATCAACATGATACATGCTGTTCTGTTCGTTTCCTCTGTGGGTACAATTAAAGTACAACAGTATCCAGCGGGCGCACTTCGTGAATTTACATGTATCGCATGTATCGTCATTGGACCGTGAGTGAATGCGACTCAACCCATTTTTGGGATGAGCTGAAATAGACAAATTCCACGACAGCATCTTAGCCGGGCGACTAGTCTTAGCTTAACGAGTCGGTGTGTTTTCCTTCCTTTGCGGCCATAAGATGCATTTTAGTGTAAGGTACTATGATACTTGCTAGTGAGTACACTCATCACGTGATTACATTCATACAGGCTGTTTCATGTTTCATGAGGTTTCTTGGGAATTTCGAATACGGGCGGGTCCCCAACAGCCGCTCGGATCGTTTGTTCGAGGTTGTCTCCTCTAGCGCTTTGGCTTAAAAACCTAACCACAAGGCAGCGGTGGCAAGTAAACTTATTTAATGGCGGTTTACGGTCGCCATGTCACAACGCCGTTATTGGGCTTTGCGTCATTTTATAAGGCTTTCAGCGTGCCAGACTTCAGCCCACCGCACTCTGGTAGCAATGTCGCTGCTGGTCCGCGACTGCTTATTCGTCAGACCTGGGTCTGCTTATTTCGCAGTTAACCTTCACTGAAGGTCGTCCCACTATCCGCCACCTGTGGACGCGCCGGGTAGCCAGCAGCTAGGCTAGATGGTGTACCGGCAAAAATCATCGCCATGATCAAGGCCTACTATCGTTCTACTACTGCGAGAGTCCTGGTCCGTAACAATCTTTCCCAACCGTTCAGTATTCGGTCTGGCGTCCGACAGGGTTGTATCCTGTCACCCATACTGTTCATCTACGCTATTGACTGGATCCTCGGGAGGACCCTACACGACAGTGACGGCGTTGAATTTGCACCCGGACATTGACTGATCTCGACTATGCCGATGACATCGCCTTACTTGCTTCAAGTTTTGGTGATCTGCAGTCTATGGTGTCACGGGTGAACGAGGTCGCTAAATCAGTCGGTTTGTCCATAAACGCTGGGAAGACCAAAGTATTCTCAAGCTGCATCCCTGACCAGGAGATGGCACCCCTGGGGATTGATGGCTGTCAACTTGAAGAAGTGGGCAGTTTTAAATACCTCGGGGTGCGGCTGCTGCCTAATGAACAGAGTAAGGACGACATTGTCTCCCGAATCGATGCTACTCGCTGGTTTTTTTCAAGCCTTCGGAAATGCCTGTGGAACCGACGTGACCTCTCCATCGCCAGTAAGATTCGCGTGTACTGTGCATCTGTCCGGTCCGTCCTTCTGTACGGTTGCGGATGCTGGGCTTTGCGCGTGGAGGATGAGCGAAAACTGGAGGTATTTGACCACCACTGTTTGAGGATTATCCTTCGAGTGAAGTTAACCGACTTCGTCTCAAATGAGACAGTCCGCGCTCGCTGCGACAACATCGTAAGAATAACTCAGGCCATCCAAGAAAGACGACTGAGGTGGTTCGGGGATGTTCTTCGTCGTCCACCTCAGGAGCTCAGTGTTACTGCCCTCGATCCGGCACCGTTGCTCCATTGGAGGCGTCGAAGAGGGAGTCAGTTCAAAACCTGGCTCGACACTGTCCGTCAAGACATGGAGGTGGTTCTTGGACCTTCGGTATTCGGTCTCCGTCGTTGGCGAAGGGAATGGGTTGAGCTGTCTAGATCTGCTGCCGCGGATCGTCACGCGTGGAAAGGTACAATTCGGGACATCATCGAGGCCGGCTAGATCAGGCATGATCGCAGCCGTATCAAGTACAAGTATTCATACAGGCGGTCCTAATTCCACTGTGCATCCCTCAGAGAGTTTATGGCTGCTGTTATCGGGGCAATTGGTCCGGGTTAACGACAGTTAGTGGTGTTAGCTGGGGGTGATCGACGTGGTTGCAGGCCCCACAATTTACGTTAATGCATTTAGTGAGGTGACGTGGTAGCAAATTTAGAGGCTGCCCAATGGAAACGATGGCTGCATTGGATTATGTGCTGTGTCGGCGGACGTGCCGTATTCACTCGGGCAAGTCCCACGCTGAGTGGAATGCGAGGTTCATATGCCGGCCAAGCTGCTAGGTGATATTTCGACCGTCGTCGCCGATGACGTCCACCGTGTGCTCCATAGCAAGATTTAGCAGGCATGGTGGCTTGCGCAGCGTCTTCCGCACCCTCTCCTCCTCCACTGGACCCAGTGTGCAGACAGAGTCAAGAAGATTGGAGACGATGGAGGGCGCAGGTAGATGGCACGGTCGGACTCGCACCTTGACGCTCCGCTCCATACCCTTTGGTCCACATAATAAATGACTAGGATTTTAACCAACGAAAAAAGGGGCTGGCGGTGCCGGGGCTGCACCTAGGAGTGACATCACACCCTGCTCGGATCCCACGGAGTGGGAGTGCCATAAAGGCCACATTACGAAAGAGCCATTGCAGCCTACCTCTTAGGCCACCAGTCGGTCGCTCCACAAACACAACATTGGGACGACTGCGAGGTCCAATTTATACCGTCAGTTGGCAACCTTTCAAGCCTCGGCTTTGAGCGTACCGTGATAGCTTCAAAGGCTGAGCATCGACCTCACTCTCCCCATTCCCGGGCCTCGGCTGCTGTCCGAGACGGTCGGTTGACAGGTGCGGGAAGTGGGCGAGATGGCTGACCTTGTCTGCGCGTGCCACATGCACGACATGGCCCCCCAAACACGAGAAGCAGGATTTCACAAGGGGGGTTGGTAGCGTACATCTCGCTTGCGTGGGAGTGCCCCACCAGTCTTCCACACCACACAAACACACAACTGGGCAGACTGTGTGGACTGAGTTGGGACGTCAGTCAGCAGTCTCACAAGCCACGGCGCTTGACGCGCCGTCATAGTCTCAGACTCGGATAACACATACGGCAGACGGAGCCGAGACGCGCCCTTTCCACTTCCGTGGTAGGTGGCAGTTAGATGCTTGTGGTGGGGGAAGGTGTAGTGGTGTCGTTTAGCCGGCGGTTGTCTACGGCAAGTTTTCGTGAATGCGCATGTGGTCTAAAAGGCCAATGCGGTGGGCGAATGTGCGGGTGCAGTGAGGGCCGTTGAGGCGGATGCGTCTGGTGTATGTTGGTGCTTCAGGTACTGGTTCGCCAGTTTCTGTGCGGTGGATTCGCAAGTGACTGACCAGGCCGATGTGTAAGCTGAGTGTACGGGACAGTGCGCACAAGTTGACGGTGTAAGTGTCGGTTTCGGAGACGGTGGCAGCAGTGGAGCTGCTGATGGCGGACGCCTGGGCAATGGGGTGTGGGTTGAGGTAGGCATGGTGGGTGTGAATGGTGTGCTGGGTGTGGTGGAGCTGTGGTGGTGGGTGTGCTGGGCGGCAGGATATGGGTTGAGATAGGCATGGTGGATATGAAGGAGGTACTAGGGGTGTCGAGACTGCGGTCGGTTCCACTGTCGTGGATACGATGTGATCGAATAGACCAATGCGGTGAGTAAATGTGCAGGGGCAGTGTGGACAGTGGAGGCAAATGCGGCGAGTGTATTTAAGGCTCAGGTCAGCAAACGTATGAGATCCGGGTCGATAATCTGAGAAATGTGGAGTGCTCACCGGGTCAAGTGTATTGTATTGCTGACGTCCCTGAGAGCATTATCTCCATTATCGAAGCGTTTAGTGCAGAAATCGACCAGAAATTTGAATAGACAGTCAAATTAGTTGGTGTTGGACTGGCCGAGTTTTTCCTTCTTTCGCTGCCTTGGCCCTCTGACCGTCGCTTGTGAATGTTGGTGGCCTCCTGTGTTGTGTGTCGTCACCACAATTGGGGTTAGTTGCGTCTGTGCCCTTTTTTGGGTGGATAAGTCGAGGGACTGTGTTTGCCCGGTATTATTAAGCTCCGTGTGACCGTCTCGTCCTGGTCATGGCGTAAGTAGTGACGTACGCTAGTTCATTGCTGAAATGGAGATTGTGAGCAGGCAAAAACAACAAAGCACCATTCAACTAACCTGGGGAGGTCGCTTACCTTGAGGTTTCCTGTGAGACTGTAGGCGAATCCGCAGCTTGGAGATGTAGAGGCGATGGTGGGTCGACCCGCCGGCACCCGGGATCGACTTTGTCCCCAGCACATCCGCTGGTTTCGCCTCCGGACGAGGACATAGTCCAGCAGGTGCCAGTGTCGCAACCGAGGGTGCATCCACGTGGCCTTCTCTCGCATCCGAAGGCGGATGACGGTTTTGGCAAAGATGAGCAGGTCTTCTGCGCAGGTTCGTAGGAAAGCAGGCCATTGTCTTTGGAGGCGTTAAGACTGTGGAGAGCCTACACGTCTCTTCAGGCAGCATGGTCTGTGCCGACGCGGGCGTTAAAGTCACCAAGGACAATGAACTCATTCGCCTTTGGTACAGATGCCGGGATGTCCTCGTAGAATTTGTTACTTGCGGCGTCAGGGCTGGCCGTCGGGAGAGCGTAGACGCTGGCGATGGTGGCGAATTTGTCTCCCCAGAGAGGCAGACGGAGGCGCATCAGGCGATGGTTGATGTCCTGTGGTAGACAGGGTAGTCGTCTCACGATGTTGTTCCGGATGACAAAGCTGACGCCCGCGTTCCGTCGCTCTGCCCTGGGGCGGCCGCCCCAGGAGAAGATGTAGTCAACACCCACCTCCTTTTAATGTGCTTTGTTCGTTGAACCGCGTCTCGCAGAGCGCAGTGACGTCCACCTTGTAGCGCCTCAGTTTCCGAGCCACTAGCGCCGGGTAGCGACTTATACCAGAACTTCCCACCTGAAACTTTCCTCAATCACCGATCTCGGCCCATCCTGCATTCGCGGCAGCCCGCATGTTGGGACTTGCGTTAGTGGGCTGCGTCGTAAATCCGCGGGAGAACTGGGCGTCTCATTTTGGACGAGCGGAATATTGCAGCAGCCACCACTGCCTATTCCTGCAACCGTTGGCACAGTGCAATTCTAAAGTGAACCCTCTATTCAACGAGCATCATACATGCATCAAGGTTTCGGGCGTCTACCAATATCCCCATCGCTATAACGTCGGCAGGATGTTGCGGTCGCTGCGAACGATCTTATCGACGCATCATCTGCGTGTTGAAAGCTGGTGCTAGTAGGCATTGCTCGTTTCGTGGGTTCACCGTGCAGTTAGCGTCACAGTTTCTGCGGTGTACGCCCAGAATTTCGACCTTTATGTTATGAAGAGGGCGTTTTATGACGAACCTCAGAGAGCAGCCAGAGGTGTCTGGATGAATGACCTAACATTGTGGGGTGATTAAAATGCCGCGGTGGAGAATGCAGTTGATCTAATAAGTCGTGCTTTGTCAGTGCATAAAGGATAGTCGTCGAGCAAAGAAAGCCTCGCCGATTTACATGGGCTGAGTTGTTTGTTCCAGGGGACACTTACAGCAAGTGGGCTAACTCATGAAATGTCCACTGAAATTCCAAAATACGTTTTCCTTTCGAAAAGATTAATTAAGTGGGGTTGTAAGACTAGTCAGCCTGCAACATAATTCTATAGTATTTCAGTTACGTCAGGATGCCGGCTTTCGAACGAACTTCCTTCTCGCTGCATGCAAAAACTACACTGCGTAAAAAAATGACTACGTAAGTAGCATGGCTATTTCTCCTTGATTTTCGATGCCCCTAAAGGCCCAATTATAGTTCATAGAAAACATGCAAAAAAATTCATTCTTTTGCTCATTCGGTAGAAAATTACGTCTTTTTCTAATTTTATACTTGAAGGAGGGGTGTAATTTGGTCTTAAAAAGTTTCTAATTGTGAGATTTCTTAATACTGTGAAATGATCATTCATAAAACGTCGTGTGTCTGTTTTTGCCAATGCCGCTTGTCAAGTTAACAACATGGATCGAATCCACTGCTAAATTTTATGAACCGCATATGGTCCCCCTTTATTATCGTAGAAAAATGCGTGGTTTCCCGTACGCGAAAAATATACGGCCTCTAGTTTGCAAACCCTGAATCCAAGTGTAACGGTAGAGCGGATTCAAAATTATTCGGGAATTGGAAAGGTTTTCGAAAACCGAATTGTACCCTTCCTTCGAGTATAAGATTGGAAGAAGACGTAATTTACTACCGAATGAGAGTAAGAATTCATATTTTTATACATGCTTTCCATGAAATATAATTGGACATTTAGGGGCATCAAAATCAATGAGAAAAAGTCATGCTGCTTAGGTAGTCATTTTTTACAGAGTTTAGTTTTCGCATGCAGCCGGAAGGAAGTTCTTTTGAAAGCCGGAATCCCGAGTTCACTGAAATATTATAGAATTATGTTGCAGGCTGACTAGTTTTACAACTCTACTTAATTAATCTTTCCGAAACGAAAACGCACTTCGGAATGTCAGTGGACATTTCATGAGTTAGCCCATCTACTATAGTTTCTAGGATACTACTTCTACCATGGGCTTCGGTCTGGCCATATAAGACCAATCCCCCTCGATGACACCGAGAATAGAAGCCCCCGGAGCGTGCTCGTCGAAATTTCGCGGATCTGCGCTGTAAGGCCACATCCTCCGCGGGGCACGAGCGCAGAGAATACTGGCGTACAACCGCCCGAGGTCTCAGACGTGCTCCATTTAAACGGGAACGCGGGGTCTACGGAGGTTTGAAGACGAGCCAGCTCCAATGTCACTTTCTCAACACACAGAGGCAACAGAGGTGCAGTGGTGGCGTCACTGCCAGATACCGTACCTTGGCGAAGGCGCGTTAACCACAAATGGAAATCTCTGTAGCCTATCCCCTCCACTGTCGGTTGACTTGAATATGACCTCGGTCGCGAATGCATATGTGATTGCAGCCCATCAGTTACTGAAGGAGGAGGGGACGATCATCCAGCATGCCATGAATCTAATATGTGGAGGTACACAATAAGCATTCACTGCGTGACAGACATGACGTGAGCTGCCTTCCAGGCCGCGTCTTGTCTCACCCATTTCCGTTGCGCTTTTTGTGTTCCGTCGCAGTGACAAAAGTAAAGAACGAGGATGCAGAAACATGTATTATTGAGTCGGTGATATCTACAGAAAGAAACGGTTGTCGAAGAGAATACCAAAAATGACGGAGGCGGAGAGAATCAGACTGACGAGCTGGTGAGACCAGAGCGTCCATAATTAATGGCAAAGTGTAGTGTTCATGTGGTTACTTTGACTTAAGTGGGTGTATACAAAACAGAGCGAATATCCAAAGTTAAATATGGAATATCAGGAGGGAGACTCAGCGAAGCACAGCAGAGCCAAAAATAAACTCGGTGGTTCTAGTACACATTAACAAAAGCGACCGTGGGTTGAAATAACGTTTGGCTGACTGTTTCAAGAACAGTACACAGTCCTGATCGCCGGCACTTACCGAGAGCCATCACAGGTTAGCAAAAGAGGCTGGGAGGAGATGGTGAAATTCGCAAAAGTTGGTGATGGATGAGGGGGCTGCACGACGGACAAATCATAACTCCATTGAGGACAAAATCTCTGACGTCAAATGGGTCTTGTAGGGGTATGAAAAAAATCATACGTTAGGGCGAGGCAACGTGGAGGTGGCAAAAAATAGAAGCAAAATTAAAGCGGAAAGGAACGCAGCCCGCGGATACTCCCTTTTACACTGATGTTAGTTGAAAAGAGGTGTTGTAAAATTAGCCGAAACATCTTCTTAAATAAAGCGGCTTTCAGAGAGTTTTATGCAGGTACAAACATATTACTGAGGACTTTAAACCATGATGAACAGATAGATCTACAGCACGCCGTATTTTGAAGCAAATAACATTTTCGGATAGTTGCAAATTGGTGCGAAGCCTTCATGGACACAAGACTTTCATACTGTATGAAGTCCGTCCTTGAAACAGATGAAGCATATACACCTCCAACTTGTGTTATTAGTTTCGGTCTAAGGAGAGAGAGGGGGGACGGGTAATGATATAATGCAGCTCAAATTACTTGGACTACCAGCGGAGTGGGGCTCCTTTTTCAGTTGATACAAATGCCCAGATGTATCTATGCGCATTTCTAGACATTTCCTGCCTGTGGAAGTAAGTGAATATCAAACCATGGCAAATAGCATTTAAGGTAGTTATTTAAACCGGCTTTTTGAACAAAACCACAAATCACGCGGCCTACGTGTGCATAGAGAGGGCAGTTTTTGTAAGATTGTGCATAATGACCTTGCATGTAGAGGGCAGTAGAAGGTGCGTCAAATTAGCAGACTAGAGGGCAGCCTAAGGCCTAAAAACGCACCTTAGTCCACAGGAAATAGGTCTATTCATTTGGCGGCGACGCTCTACAAGGGGCATCCGAGGTTTCTAATTTTGGCTGGGACCTCTCCTCCCCTGAAGATGGAAGGTCGGGGGATAAATTCGTTGACTGCGGCAGTTCCGGCGACACAATTCTTTTACTATTACGATGCTTCCGAGGGTGTTGCGATTGACATTCGGTCGCCGATGTTGTCTCCAGCCGAACAGAAGACTGTTGCGACTGTTGCAAGAGTTGCTTGGTCTTTTGGAGTTTCGCAGCCCTCTTTCGGGCCTTTGAAGACTTGGGTTTCTTTTGGTTGGCTGCTAACCTCGGACCACCTGAAGACTCTGTGGTGGAAATTTCACCGGGATCGGTGACCGGGTATGCCAATTTGGTGGGGGAGGAGCTGAGGCTGCCTTCTGAATCGGGCAGCAGACCCATGGAGCGTGGCAGAGAGGCCGACTCCACGGCGTGAAAATTCGGTCGATTGATCGGGACACAGGAACTTGTGGGAGAGGCAGTATTCCCTGTCACTCGCGCTGATACCTCTTCATCCCTCACCTCGTGCGACAGTTCAACACTAACTCCTGTGGCAATCTCTGTGGCGACGCAAACCGCTTGATCCCCCTCGGCCTCGTCTCTGCTGACAAGTTCTGGCGTGTCTCTCGTAAGGGCCGCGTGTTCGATAGACAGACGCTCAGGAACCTGTGATGGTTGACATTCCTCGCTTTGACCGTCTGACGGTAAGGTACCGAAAGAGAGAGAGGATATAACTGTATCCTCGGTACATGATTGGCTAGGAAAGTCACTTTCCAGCACAAAGAGTGAATCGCGCGCCGAGGATGGTGTAAGCAGGGCGTTAGAAGATAGCCGCACGCCAGGTGCGGAGGCATACAGAGGCACAGGTGATTGCGAAGAGGGCAAGAGATTGGGAGAATGTGGGCGTGGAAAGAAGGGCGATGCTAACATGACTGGACAAGGTCTAGGATGATGCCCGATGGAGCGGCGGGCCGTCCTGAAGTCGTCGTCCTGCAAAACACAAGGCACGCTTGTAAGTATTATTTGTTGACAAAGGAGATTTCATGCGATCTCCAGGTGTAAAGGTAAAGAAAATTATGATAAAGTTCCCCTCAGAGCTGGTTAGGCAAAATGACAGGACTAACTAAAAAAGGGGATGTCACACGACCAAAGATGGCAGAAAAAGTGTATTTCGGTATTCTTGGAAAGTGAGTCTGAGATCTTCCATGTTGCGGTTCCGAAATGCAACTACTGAAACATGGC